AAATCGTTAGCCGAGCTACAGCTTCAGTCTCCGTTAGAGCAGGAGATCCGTACAGCACAGAGAGATGATGAGTTTTGTCAGAAGACTCGAGAGTTAGTTCCTACAGGAAAGAGGCCCGAGTTTGCAATTCGCGATGACGGAGTCTTGTACTATCGTGAACGCCTAGTGGTGCCCCGCGGTGGAGTGAGGGATCGCTTGTTGCGCGAGGCTCATGGAACCGTATACACTATGCACCCGGGTAGTAACAAGATGTATCAGGATTTGAAGAAATCCTATTGGTGGCCAGCTATGAAAAAGGAAATCTCCGAGTTCACTGCGCGCTGTTTGACTTGTCAGCAAGTCAAGGCTGAGCACCAGGTTCCGACAGGGTTGCTGCACCCTCCTACCATTCCGGAATGGAAGTGGAAAAGGATCACTATGGACTTTGTGATCAGATTGCCACGATCTTCACGAAAGAATGACGCCATCTGGGTCATTGTTGACAGGTTGACAAAGTCCGCTCATTTTCTACCCGTCAAACGTGACTCTTCCTTGGACAAATTGGCAGACTTATACGTTAGAGAGATAGTTCGGTTGCACGGTGCACCACTGTCAATCATATCTGATAGAGATCCCCGGTTCACTTCGATGTTCTGGAGAGGACTTCAGAAGGCTTTTGGCACAGCTTTGAACCTTAGTACGACATTTCACCCTCAGACCGATGGCCAGTCTAAGAGGGTGATACAGATTGTCGAGGATATGATGCGAGCTTGTGTGATCGACTTTGGAGAAGATTGGGAGCGTTACTTGCCGTTGATGGAGTTTGCATATAATAACAGTTACCAGGCGAGTATTCAGATGGCTCCGTATGAGGCACTCTACGGCAGAAAGTGTCGAACCCTGATTTGTTGGACAGAGCTTAGCGAGCGTAAGCTTGAGGGACCAGATATTGTGCAGGAAACCGAGGAGAAGGTTCGTGTGATCAGAGACCGACTCCGCACTGCTTCGGACAGACAGAAATCTTATGCAGACTTAAAGAGACGAGACATAGAATACAATGTTGGTGACATGGTATTCTTGAAGGTTTCACCTTGGAAGAAGGTCCTACGGTTCGGGAAGAAAGGTCCTACTAAGAAACAAGACGGTACCTTTGGTAAAGGTACTATGGCGTAATCATGCGGTGGAAGAAGCAACCTGGGAGACCGAAGAATCTATGCGAACTCGGTACCCTCATCTCTTCGGCGACCAATGACTCAGGTAATTTCGAGGACGAAATTCTTTTTAAGGGGGGGAGAAATGTAACGCCCCAAAATCTGGCCCAAAAGAATTAATTAAATTGTTAGAGCAATTGATTACGAAATGGGCCCAAAAAGGGGTTAAAATTATAATTTGGATTCTAAGCCCAACTTTTATGTCATCTCGTAGGAAATATTTTTGTGATCGCGTCGGTTTAGACGGCTCGCGAATCGGAGTTATGGAGCTCATGTTATGACCATTTAATCAGGTATTTTGGGCCCGGAGCCCAAACCACTAGTATTGGAATTAATAGATAAAACCTAAACTAATTTCAGCCGTAGGATCGTTATCTTCTTTCTTCTTCTTTCTTTCTTTCTTCTTCTTCTTCTTTCTTTCTTCTCCTTCTTCAACTTCGATCGCCGTCCAATTGCAGCCGCCAGACGCCGTTCTTCGCCGGTCGTCCTCCCTGCTGTTCGACCACGCCAGCGTCACCCGAGCCAGACGCCGCTCATCGCCGGTCGCCCTTCCCCAGCCAATCGCCGCAGCTCCGTCGCCCACTGCAAGGTCCAGCACCGCCAATCGCCGCTGTTTCGCCTTCGCCGGAAGTCCGCCATCATCGCCGTCAAGTGCAGCGCCGCTGTTTGGCCTTCGTCGGTCGTCCGCCGCCGTCGGGTTGTAGCGCCGCCACGCCTCGCGACTAGACGTCGCCTCCACTGCCGGCGTCCTTCCTCGTCGTCGAATTGCAGCGCCGCCAGTTGCTGCTCATCGTCGTCGAGCTGCTGCTACGCCACTGTCGCCGGCGTCCGCCACCGTCGCCGCACCCAGCCGCTGCCCCGGATTGATATCGCCGGCAGATTAACCTCCACGCCGGATTGATTGGTCGATTTCGTATTTTGACTCAATTTGACCCGTTCGTTTGATTTCGTTGAATTTTCTTCCGTTCGAGCTATCGATTCGATTTCGGCGTAATCCAGGTCCGTACTATGAAGTTA